ATGCAGACCCCACCTTCAATGCCAAGCACTCCCCAGGTAGAGGAAGAGACGAGCTCAGGCAGGAGGGAGCTCAGGCAGGAGGACGTGACCCAAGGACACACCCCAGGGCTGGCCCCCGCCTCCCTCCCCCTCACCCCCCCCCCGAACCATCTGCAGGGGCTGAGAGGTCCTTCCAGGCCCTGAGGGAGCCATGGGCACAATCGTGGCTGGGCAGAGAGGAGTCCTCACTCGGGCACAGATGGCTGGCACCTGCTCCCCACCCAGCCAGGCTGGGCTGTGCTGAAGCCTCTCATCTCACCTGAACTGTTCCATATTTAGGAGGGTGACGAAGCTCTCACGAGCAGCCCTTGTTCACCTGACCCAGTGTCCACCATGCCCAGTGCCCTGCATGAGGACCCCCACACACCTGCCTGTTAGCACCACTGTGCTCACACCAGGCCCCGGCTGTCCAGGGGAGACCCTGCAGGGGCACAGACATGCACCTGGATCGGAAGTTCCGCTGCCGCACAAGGTCTGATATGAGAAGTAACCGCTGTCTAGAAGCAACCGTGGCCATGAAAGCAAGCCTCGGGGCTTGGACCCTGCTAGCCCTGCCCTGAGAACCCCCGTGCCTCACAAGCCCTTCCTCGGGCCCCATCCCTGACAGTCCCTTGAGAGCCTTCAGCTCCCTCTCAGGCACCGGGCGTATTTCATGAGACGAAGAGCAGGCACAGTGGTGTCACTGCGGAACAGCTGTTCCCGAGCCCTGCACAGCGTGACCTGGGAGAGCTGGCCCCTGGATGACCTGAGTGCCTGGAACCTTCTCCCAAATACACCTGCAACTCTGCACTCACTCACTCTGCAAACATGTGCAGGACACAGTCCGTCGGTTGTGCTATGTGCACCCCCAGTTCTGGAACAGAGACTCCAGTTTTTCGCAGGAGGACCACACCTAACTCCAGAGGCAGGCACGTGACAAGCGGGTGACCCAGGTTGCTACATCTCCTTGGTCACAGTGACATCACTTGCCCATCCATGTCTAGCCAGAGCCAATGAGATGAGAGACTTTGCCTGGCCCAGCTGTAAGCACTCTTGTCTTTCCTCAAAGCACCTGAGAGGCTGAAAGTCCGCGCCTGCGGAGCCCAGCTGTCACCGGGAGGACTGCTGACCCAGGGAAGCGGGGCTGGAAGATGAAGCCGCTGAAACCCAGCCCCAGCATCACGGATGGAGCTGCACCTCCAGCCAGACCCAGTCGTGTGAGCTGACCTGTTTCCAGCATTGCTCACGCCCCGCCGAGCTGGGTGCTCTGTGGCTTACAACCGGGGGTCCTAGTAGAACAGACGAAGTTCAGGGATGTGGGCATGGCAGCTTCGCCCACACACTCCAAATTGACATCACACGCTATCTTGGTATAAACTGCTAAGAGGTTTGTGCTGGGGAACAAACGGGCACTGGGCGAGTCTTCTGGGGCTCCAGAGCAAGTGGGCTGGGGTTTCAGTCAGGGACCAGCAAGGGGGCACCCCGGGGCTGAGCAGGCACAGCGGCCAGAGAGGAGGAGACTGCCATGATGAATCAGGACAGGGCTGGGAGGACAGGAGAGCCCAAGTCTCCAGGCTGCCCTGGGGCGAGGCAGGAGCAGACCCTGCCCTCCCCCCCTACTTGCAAGGCCATGCTGGGGGCACCTCACAGCCCAGAGACCGGAACCAGTTACTGGCTCTGGAGACAGCCCCTGGGGGGATGAAGGAATCACCTGAGACAGTGGAGATGCCGCCCTGGCACCACCCCAGGAGAAGGAGGGGCTGGAGAAGGCGGAGTTCTGTCAGTGAGGAGTGAGGTGCAGGCTCCACCTGAGCCGGGCCTCCCCTGCAGCCCCGTTCTTGCTGAGGTGACTCAGATACAGGGAGGCGTTTGGGGGACATTTAGCACAAGGCAGTACTATGCAGTGGCCATACTCTATTTCAGTCCAAACTTCTAACCCCCATGTGGGCCCAGCCCCATCAGGTCACCCCCAGGCAACCGCTAATCTACTTCCTGTCTCTGTGGATTTGCCATTCCGGACGTTTTTTTAGTTTGTTTGTTTGTTTTTTGCCTTAGGGTATGTGTGTTCACTGGAGAGAGAGTCAGAGAGTGAGAGGGAAAGTGAGAAATCACTCCCCAGGAGGATGGCCATGCTGCAATCCCTTCTTCATTCTCCTGGGATCTTGAGCACACATGCACATGTACCCAGTGTGATTTTCAAGCCAAGTCTAGGACTAGAACCATAGTTGACCATGCTTGAGTCCAGCGGTAACTGCTATGCCATCCGCTGGTCCCTTGGACATTTCCTTTGTTTTAGAGAGATTTTTGCTATTGGACACATGCGCGCGCTGGAGAGACGGAGAGACAGAAAGTGAAAAATCACGCCCCTGGGGAGACAGCCATGCTGCAATCCCTTCTCCATTCTCCTCTTGGGATTTTGGGCACGCACACAACACGCTCGGGCCAAGTTTTAAGCCACCGAGTCCAGGACTCAAACTGCAGTCGGCCACGTGGGGAGTCTAGCAATGTAACCATTATGCCATCTGCTGCCCCACTCCCCGCCCCCAGCATTTCTTACAAATAGCACCGCGTGCCAGCGGCCCTCTGGGCCTGGCTCTTTCACTCTGCAGAGCATTCCCTAGGCTCATCTGGGCTGCAGCAGGTGTCCGCGCTCTGGTCCTTTGTACGATAGTACCCATGGTGAGGCGGGGCCACGCTGTGCTTGTCCCCTCATCAGCTGACAAGCATTTGGGCTGTTGTGAATGTGCTTCTATGAGCAGTTGGGCTGGAGCTGCCTGAGCCTGGACCCGCTCCTCTGTGTCTACACCTGGGAGCAGGCGTGCCGGCCACAGAGAGGTCCCGAGTTTGACCGTGCGGGGCCTGTCAAACGGGGATATACGGGGCTCCGTCGGCAGCAGGGCACAGGCTCTGGCAAAGCTCATGAGACCTGCTCTAAGGGCTACCCCTCCCCTTCCCACGCAGTGCTCAACGCGGCCTCGGCTGGTGGCTCCTCTGTCCAGCCCTCCTGAATCAATCTGCATAACCTGCCAACACTCAGGCCACACCCTGTGGCTTCACCTGCCTCCGCTTCTCACCTGTCAGTGAGCACGACATGGTGGAGAGAGAAACGGTTATAAGCCTGAGCGTCCCCATGTGCTGTGTGGGGACTCTTGGCTGAGAGTCCACTTGCCTACTGTGTCTGCCTGTGCTGACCTGGCCATGACTGGGCCAGAGGGTGCCCTACCTCCCTCCTGGCAAGGCCATGACTGGGTGTGTCTACAGGCCTGGTTGTCTAAAGGATTGTAGGACTGAGCCCTAAGAGGCAGCAGAGGGTTCCGGCAGGCCCCAAAGAGAAGGCCAAGTCAGAGCAATGGACTGACTGCCCCGGGGGTGACCCCTGGACACTGTGCCCTGGAAGGTCCTCCTTTGGAGCAGTGTGGGCCACACCCAGCCCCATGGGGCTACTCTGGGGACATGCCACTTGAGTCCCCAGTTCCAGAGCCAGCCACACAGACTAGAGAGCAGGAAGCTACGTGGCCACCAGGGGTCCCGCTCCACTGCCAGGATTGTGCACGAGATGCAGATACAAAGCAGGGGTGTGGCCTGAGCCTGGCCAGCACTGAGCGGTGTGGACACTGAGGCAGGAAATGGGGGCTGCGGCTGTCTCTAGGATCCATCTGGACTGCCCCCTTTCTGTCCACAGAAGCCCTGTGATGCTGCCTGGGTGCTCTGCAGACCCGAGGGGGACCCAGCAGCACCTGGACAGGCCCGGGGAGAAGTGGCGCTGCTGGCCTGGCCACCGCAGCCGCCGCACATGCTCCCTCAGCCCTCCCGAGGGAGGTCCCTGCAGGTCACCCCAGAGAGGAAGTAGCCCTCCCCCACTTGCAGAAGAAGGGGCCAGTAGAAGCCCCAAGGCTCTCCCTCCACCCTCTTCATCACAGTCCTGCTATAGCCAGCCACAGGGACTCAGCGCCATGGCCACCCAGCACAGACGGAGGGTGACCAGGTCTGGGACACAGTGAATTCAAAATGTGCCGGCCATCCTGGTTAACAGTGGTTCTGTCGTGGGAGAGGAAGGACAGAGAGACAGGGAGGGAAGCTGGAAGCCGAAGGCGCTGGCACCGCCAGCCTGGGGCCGTGTCCCGTCTCACCTGCCGAGTAGGGCTCCTGCTTCTCAGGGTGGATAAACTCCTGCCGCTCGTACTTGGCCCGGATCCACTGCTCTCGCAGCACTCTGGGGAGAGAGGAGAGACACTCAGCCCGGCTGCATCTGGCCCAGCACCATGGGACGGCCCCCGGGCTGGACTGTGAGGTCCTCGGGAAGCAGACGGGCTGTCCCTCCGGGCATGACACCCTGGAAAGAGCTGCTGAGGCCGGAAGCCTGACGCTGCACGCCGCACTCCACGGTGTCCGGCCTCTCTGAGGCTGACCTCTAGGCCTGCCAGCTTCCAACTTCAATGGTTTGCTCATCAGCTAGTGGCACCTTGTCACACCTCCCCTTTTTACAAAATGCCATGTAACTCATACCAGAAAAACTCACCCCATTAAAGTACACCATTCAGGGGTTCATGGTTTGTTCTCAAGGCTACACCACTGTCACACTGGTCCCCAACACATCGGCACCTCACCCAGGAGGCACCCACACCAGCCCTGATGTCCTTTCTGTGTCTACAGGGACAGACCTGCCTATCCTGGATGCTGCGTAGACATAGAAATCATACGTGTGGTCTTTTTTGACATAGCATGTTTTTGAGGGTCACCCTTGTCATAGCGTGTATTTGTGTTTCAATTTTTTTTTCTTTTTTTTTGGAGAGGTTTTTTTCTTATTGGGCGCGTGCACTTGCCAGAAGGACAGAGAGAGACAGAGAGAGAGAGAAAGCGAGAAATCACCCCCCAGAGGGGATGGCCACGCCGCAACCCCTTCTCCATTCTCCTCAGGATCTTGGACACGCATGGGTTCTGCCTAAGTGATCGTGGAGTCAGCTCTCCTCATGCGCCCAATCTCTGTCTCCAGCATGGAGTGATTTACGTGGCCTCAGGAGTGTAGTGGGGGGTACTGCACGTGGCCTGTCACTATGATGCTGGTACCCAGGAAGGCTTCCGTAACCTCAGCTGTGACAGTCACTGGAGGGTCTCGCAGGATCCCTGCCAGCCAAGGGAACCCTGAAGCCCCAGGCCACAGCCTTGGTGCAGACACAGGGCCTGTGGCTCATGCCTGCACACAAGGGCCTCCCAAGGCAACAGAAGGAGGGAGCGCTGGGAGCAGGCACCAGGAGTCAGCAGTGTGCCCCGCCCTGACAGTAGAGCTGTCCCAAATCCTCCATCATCGTGGGGTCTCGGTCACCAAGGCCTCAGCCAGAGATGACCAAGGTGGTTGGGCTGGCCCTGCTGTGGCCAAGGGGCCCTGGCCTGACTTTCTGAGGCCTCGGGGAAAACCAGTATCAACTAGGGAGCCCCTCACTCCTCCTGCAGCCCTGCAATGGCTGTCAGCCACACCTCATTAGATGATGAGGAAGCGGGTCAGGGCACCTGGGAGAGCCAGGATGGAAACCCACCCGGAGGGCTCCAAAGGCCCCCTGTCCACCCACTTCCTAGACTTCCTAGGACCCGTTTCAAATTCCAGAGGGCTCATGGGAGCCAGGCTTCATGGGCCCCCAGCCATCCCACCCCCAGATACCCTGGGCCCTCAAAGTAAAGACAGGTCCCCATAACCCAGGGTGTGAGATGAGGTGTGGCTGGGCTTCTGCCATCTGGAACTGGGGGGCAGAGGGTCTGACAGGTGCTTGGAGTAACTGCCACCCCTTCATGTGGATTCACAGAACAGGGGACAAAGCTCTACCCCCCAGTCCCAGGGCTGACCCTACCCTGAGTCCCAGGGCACCTCCCTCTGCTGCCCTCCACTGGACTCCTCCAGCCCCAGGCAGTCACCAGAGACCTTTCCTGGTACAGCCCACAGACTCCCACTGCTGGACGGGTGAGTGTGACCTGTGACAGCATGGTGGCAAGGGCCACTCTGCTTCCCACTCCTCAACTCCCTGCTTGCTTTACCCATGACTCAAAGTGTGTGTGCGGGGGAACCAGCAGTTAGCGTAATGGCTATGTCGCTGGATTCCCACGTAGTCGACCGGGGTTTGTGTACTGGACCTGGTGGCTTAGAACTCACGCCGGGCGCGTGTGTGTGCGTGCCTAAGATCCCGAGAGGAGAATGGAGGAGAAGAGATTACGGCGTGACCATCCCCTCTGGGGGGGTGATTTCTCTCTTTCTGTCTCTCTGTCTCT